TATGAGGGAAAAGATGCGTACAAAGTCACAAGGCATGCATCTGACGCTGCTCATAGTTGGAAAACTGTTGCAAGTCTTTCCTGCTGTCATCAGATGAGCTAACATGGGGGTGTTTTTGAAAGAGCTTCTCATAAAAAATACACTAGCAGAAACTTTGGTAAGAGAGACCTGAATGTTGGAATAATTATGTTTTTGAGCTATCTTTATGTCAGCCATCCTGAAATATTTTGCTAAAACACATATTTTAAGACACATATTTAAAAAAAAAGCCACACTTATGTTCCAGTGTGCATTTGCAGTAATATTCAGAAGAGATCTGTGCTGTACCATCATGGTCTTGGTGATTTGGGGTTTGATTTTTATTGGACAGTTCTCCAGTTGTATTTCTGGCCTCACATGTTTGTACATAACTAATATTCATTCTGATCCTGAAAGGCAATAGCTAAAGAAGTGGTTTCACAGGTGGCTTACACATTCCCACCTTATCCCAGGTCCTAACAGCACGCTGGGGGCTCTTCCTCACTTCGGGGCCAGCGTTCATGTGTCTGCAGGGTCAGTCGGATCCGGGAGCTGCTTTGGGATCCGCATGGCTGAGGTGCTGATACGAGCACAGGAGAGGGGTGCTCATGTGCAGGGGGAGGGAGGGGCAAAGCACGACAGCTTCTCTGCTGGCTGCCCATACTTAGATCATCTTCAAATTATTATGAAACCTCAGCCTAAATTAATTTGCATTCGTGTATGGACTTCTGTTTTATGAGAGTCAGAGCTTTACCTTGTATGAAGTACCTGCCATTATTCAGTGCTGCAGCGTATTGTTATCCTAAGCCTGTTGTAATTGTTCTGTAGTAATAACAAAGGTGGAAAATGCAAGAAACAACAACTTGCAAGTGTCAAGTTTTTGTCCTCTCTAATTTCATGCACAGAATTTGTGCTGTTAGTGTGGACTCTGAAGGATATTCAGCAGACTGGAATGCAGCGGCTGCAGACAGCAAGACGTCCTGTGTATAGATTTATAAATGGGCTGTAGGAAAGGTGGAATGCTTTATAGGTGCTGCCTGTATCAATCCTTAAGTGTATGATGATCAGATGTCAGTGTGCATTTTATTAAGGCTAAGAACATTTTAGAGGGGGGAAAAAAAAAAGAAGAAAATACAGTAAACGCACACACACTATATCTGTTTTTTAGAGTGCAGGCAGTTATGCTAAAGCTGCTTCTGCAGTATGTAAAATACCCTTAGCTGCATGGAACCTGGCAGCCTTGTGGATTATGTTGGTGATCCAATACAATTCTAACAGTAATCTCCTAGCACCATTACTTCGCTTAGTATACAATTACACTTATTTGGGGTGGGGTTTTTTTTGGTGCCAAACATTCAAAGCAGAATTGCAGGCTTTGTCAAAGCTCACTTTAACAAAAAGTCACTGTAAATTCAAACCATTAGTTTTATCAATAAAGCAACATAGATTTTATATAGATGTAGCTATACAAAAATATATCTAATTTCTTATATATAAAGAGAAAAAAGGCTACCGGTGTGTCTGCATATATGCGCATGTGGTATCTAGGAGCTGTGGGATTAATGGGTATTCCAGTATTTGCACAGATTCAGTACCATATCTAGCATGAAGACAGTGATAATGCAGCGCTCGCTTAGGTGCTATCACTTTTGCTTCCCAACATTGTTGCTAAGTCCTGGCAGACTGCGGGTTGTTACCACTATTGATGGTGATGTCTTCATGCTGCTCTGGGTTCCCTTATTTCTCCAGAGTCATCTGTAATCAGTTGCGAGTACATTTGATAGTGATTTCACATCTATCAGTTGTTTTGGTGGATGGAAAGAACCTAACCTGTGGATATACTGCTATGTTTTGTTTCCTTAATAACGTTGCTGAAATACAAAATTATTTTAGAAGACATGCTGTTGGGTAAAAATGGTTATTAGAATAATAATGCCATCAAGTAACCTGTCTTGTATGTAGGCATTTTGCCCTCTCCTTAATATGTCTAATAGTCCATATGCATTAGATACTGAGCATGTTAATATGTAATGGTTCTGGTATACAATGGGAGGTTCATTTTTCTTATAGACTCAAATAATACAGAGATTGTGCATTCTCTGTGCACATGAAATACTGAAAACTTTCATCCATCTGCTGGGTCTGAACGTTAAAGTTCTTTCAGCTGGAAATGCAAGATCTTGTCAGGCTGCAGAAGCATATATAAACAATGTTCACAGATTTCAGTGGAGTTAAAGTGAATCTCAGCATCATTTGGACTGATCTTTTGGCTTATTTGGAAGATTACAATAAAACGCAAGATTGAATTCTCTACCTGATTCAGTTTCTTATTGATTGAATCCTTTTAGACTCCTCTCTAATTTAACAGTGTATTTTTATTAAAGCCAAGCATACAAACATCAATTATCCAAGCTGCATCTAATTTCCTTCAACATTTTTTTTCTTTTGCTGCCAATGGATTAGAAGACCTGATTAGAATTCAGCTTGAAAGCTGAAAAGCAGATCCTTAAATGAGAATGTCTGCATTAGGAATTAAAATATCTGTACTGGGCATAAAATCCTCCTCCTTATCTCTAATAATGTAAACACACTTGGTTAAGTTGATCTGTCACATGCCTGGTGCAATGTCCCTGAATTAGGAGCATGTATTAGAAAGGGCGGAACAGTGTCTGTGGCTAGTCCTGCTGATAGAGTACATCACTAGTACATTTTGACATCAAAGTGCTTTGCATAGATATCTCTCTACCATAAGGGTTAATGTGATAAGTGTTTGAATGGCTCGATTTTTTTCACGTGTTTTTATCTCCTAACACCAAGAATGTTTGTAGGTGCCAGGCAGAGAAGGGGCCTTCTGTGGTTTCACTGTTGATAGATTCCACAAAGTTAAGGATTTTGTAACAGCGCAAAGGTGAAAGAAATAATTGCAATGGCATCACCAACTTAATATCCAGAAAACCCTAGACTGGTAAATGTACGCATTTAACATGACATTAAAGTGTTGGTCCATGTCTAAACTATAAGGAGGAGTTGCAAAATCAATTAAATTGTATGTTTTGATTTAACTGGATTATTAATTTCCTTCTGATACCCAGTGTGCTCTGCCTGTGATGAGGAAGCCATGTCATGAGCCATATGCAGGCTGTTGCTGTGCAGGCTCTATGAACTGGAGCAGTTGGTGTCATGTGTACCAAATCATCATACCTAATTTCAGAGGGAGAGATTTTTAAGGGAGTTTATTCTTAATTATTGTTCTACTTAAAGCATGAAACATCTCTAATGCTATTTGAAAATGCACACAAGAATTCTGTTTATAGTATCAGGATGCCCAGCAGAGTGAGCAAATCTTAGTTGGATGACTGTACTGCAAATAGCAAGAGGAGAAAAGTAGTAGGGCAGGAAGCATCCTAGCACATCAGCACTGGAAAACTAGATGAAAGAGCTCGTCTCTAATAAGCTTGAAAGGAGAAAATGTCTCTGAGTCCCATATGGTCAGATGGGAATGTTCTGGACACTTTTGGGCAGCATCATGAGAAGTCTTGCAGCTGGGAGCCGCAGCAGGTAATGAATGAGATGTCAGCGAAGTAGTCCCATTGCCGTCTTCGTTTTATGACTGTTCTGCTGGCGTTGGAGTTCTGTAGTGCAATGTAAACACAGCGTATGTTTACAGTAAGGGATGTTTTTGCAGTCTAGGGTACTGCTGAAGGATATTGGTGAGCTGATTTCATGTGGGAAGCAAAGTCTTTGTTGAGATTTTTTTTTTCTTTTTATTGCTGCATTGTGGATGGCAGTATTACTAAGAGTGGTGAGCTTTCAGTCTGGGTGCGTGACTGCACATCACAGGAGTTAACTGTCACATTTTGTCTGCAGAGAAATATTAAACCTGATTGTGCAGAGCTGTAAACGTGCATGATTGCATGGAATTTTCTTGGTGCTGGTATGAGTCTGGCTACCTGGAGGTGGGCAAAGTGAATCTGTTCATCTTGTGCAATGAGTTAAGCATAACTGCGGTTGACATCATGCGCAAGTGAAATCCAGTGATATTTCATTCCTTCAAACCTAATCCCCTCTTTATCTTGTCGTCTTTTGAGTCAACATGATTATGGCAAAGCTTATTTGTGACACCCAGTGAAGCTTATTATAGTGCCCCGAATGTTGTGGATTGGCCCCGCTATGGAATGAGAGACGGCATAGCTGTGTCTGTATGGTGTCCCCCTTGACTTAATAAGCCATGGTGGGAAGCCTGGTATATGAACTTCGGTTCAATGTTATACTACCTTACCAAGTGGAAAGAAACCGTATTAATACCTTGTATGGATTAATGTCTTGTATGTTATGAAAGGTAATTTAGTTGTGAATTGGGTGCAGGAATTTCAGTTTCCAGAAACTGATGAATAGCAGTTTTTTGAGGTTATCAATTAATCTGTTGTAATGAATGCTCTGCATTACACGCCTCTCCTTGTTAATTAGAAAGGATTTTCACTCCTCTTTATCAAGTCAGGGCAAGTATATTACCTTTTCCTCTGTACTGCTTATGATAAAGTGCATATCCAGATTGTTTTGTGAAGCGTCCACATGAATATTTCATTGCATGTGCATCCACACATTCATACGCTGTGCTTTCTGAGCTCCAATCTCTGATGATTATTCAATAGGTTAAAAAAATCCAAAATATAGATTGTTTAATCTCTTTCTATTTATGCTTATCAGTAAAAATTCCCCTTTTCTGTGCAATAATGTGTTTATGACATTAATTACCATGCCAGTTTAGGCCAAGGCAATTAATCACTGCTACATAGTACAGAAACAATAGACTCAGAATCAAATTTTCTGCGTACAGAGGCGAAGCTTGCACCTTCCGTAAATGAGAACCTGCCTGACAGGGGGGAATTTGTACCCTGGTTTGGATCTTTTACCTGTGTTTATTTAAAAAACAAAACAAAACACAAACAAACCCCCCATCTATTTCCTACTCTGTTTCTTTCCTACAGGTTGAAGCAATACTTGTAAACATTTTTGGTGGGATCGTCAACTGTGCCATTATAGCCAATGGTATTACCAAAGCTTGCCGAGAGCTTGAGCTGAAAGTACCTCTGGTGGTCAGACTGGAAGGTGAGTGCTAATGGTTTCAGACAAAAATTGTCCTTGAGGTGCACAGTAATCCACTTTGGCTTTCTTTGATCTCTAAGCTCTAAGCCAGATTAGTCCCACACAAATAAGAATATGTCCAATTCTTCATCCATAGCATGACCTGAAGTCAATAAACTCTTTCCTTACATATTTCTGTATTCCTGGTCGCTGGCGGTACTTGAAGCAATGGAATTTTGCAATGAAAGCATTATGGTTTTGCTTGTAACATTTGCATTGCAAAGAGAAAGAATTTTGATGCAAGTTTCTGTTTACTGTAAGGTGTTTCTTTTTCAAATTATTTTTATTGAATGCAATTCCATTATTGCTAAACCTGTAGCAACATCCAGTTTTCTTAAATTTACTCCAGTTCATAATTAAAAGAAAGATATTAGAAACAGTATTTGTGAGAGAGAGATTACTGTAACATCTTCTTCTGCCCATGTATCCCATCCAGCTAAAATCCATTAAAAAACAGAAGATTTGGTAATGGTAAGGAATATTTTTTTTTAGTACATCCAGCATTGTTAAACTGGAAATAAAAAAGTAACAGGGAGGTAAGAAAGAGTGTTCTTTGGCAGTTACTGGCTTTAATATAATGGCAGTGGATATGGAGTTCTATCTCTAATTTCTGAGAAGTACCCTGAAGGAGGAAGGGAGATTCTTCTTCTGCCATTGAATGAAAAAGTTCTTTGATTGAAATCAGCACACAACTCTGGTAAGCTTAAAACAATTATTTCTTGCTAAGTAGGTTTGGAAAACAGAGGTTTTTCTGGTTTTGGGGGTTTGGGGTTTTTTTAAGGCCTGTTTCTCAGAAACATCAATATTCATGTTTGGGGGTGTGTAAAGAGCATAAAATGTCCTATCACTCAGCATTGGTGGTGAAAGGAGGAAATGCATCCCTCTATACCTAAGATACAAACCAATAAGGTGGTTTTTAACACTATGATAGAGGGGGGAGGAAAAAAAGTTCTGAATACGCCAGACTTTTTCCTTTTCAAAAAATAAAGTCACGAGGACTCATGAAGGTGTAGGTTACCCATGAAGCCCTTTGGTTAGGAGGGTACTTGTTTTGCCTTTCATGAGAAAGCAGAGTTTTCCCATTCCTCATTCTCATGCTACATTACACATGATATGTCATGTGTGATACGTGATGTCAGTTCACGTCAGGGGAGACCACAGCCTATGACATACAATTTTGTCCTGTAAAAGTTCTGCTGTGCAATTCACTGCAGGGTTCAAATGCTTTCCAGAGTTCATTCTTGGTTTAACGTGGGTAGACTTCTCCTGTGGTAAGAGCAGGAAAATTTAAATGCTCTCAAATGGATTTTAGAAACAAATTGTGAAAATTTTCTTTGGATGATGCAGCACCACTAAACACCTTAAGAGAGTAAGTAGATAGTTTAATATGGATGAAGGAGAGACTGATGGATGTTGGTTAGAAGCAGGAAAGTTTCATAATAAAAAATCTCATTGTTTATCAGCTCTAGGCAATGTTGTTTCGCTTTTTGTCAAACTCTTCCTGTCTGTCATAGCTGGGAAAAAGTTTATCTGCCAGATCTGCAAGACTTCTCATCTATTGTAGCTGTTATTTTTTAAGTGAAGATACTGGAAAAGCTGTTAGTTTTGCTTATGAACAAGATAGCTGCAAGTTGTTTATATCGCAATACTTGAAATCAGTATAAGAGAAACAAGAAAACCAACTTGCTCATTTTAAGCTGCAGTCTGCTAGGTCTGCCACTGGGTTTTCTTGACCTTTCTTCAGTACTTTCAATATTTCCATGATTGTACACAAGTAAGGGTGATTTTTTTTTTTTGGTTTTAACATGACTTCTGGGAGATTGCAAGAGGCAAAGCAGTCCCTGAGCTGAATGAGGAGCATCCCAGTGCTACTGCACTGTGGAATTTGTCTGGAAGGGAAGGTGTGGAGCAGGAGTGCTTCTGCCTGGGGGTTGCGCAAAGCCCTGCAGAGGTGACTGTGTGGTGCCTGTTCCTCTTGAGCCTGTGACCTTTATGAGTTGTGTGCTGCTTCATCCACAGAGGCCGAAGCTGAATCTTCAGAATGTCTAACACAGATTTTAATGCAAACACCTTTTCTTGGTCATCTTCCCATGACTGCTCACTCTTACTAGGTTTATAATAAAGCTTCTCCTAGACTAGCTGCTGACTCCAGAGGTAGCGGTACCACGTTTTCTTTAGGAAACTCTGTCCCGGTATAATACAGCAAACTCTCCTTTTTGCACAATATTCATCTCAAAAGATTTTAATTCCTTCTCTTATTTCTAATGTTACCCATCAATTCATCCTAAATGAAGAGCTATGGTGTTTACAGCCGTCAGATGTTGTACTTAGAAACTGTTAGCTTGTAACTCCTGCTTTCTCTGCCTCCTTAATCACCCAACCAAGATATAGATAGATAGGTAGGTAGATAGATGGTTCTTCTAATCTCTCCTCAGAAATCAATCTCTGGTTCCTTAATCATCTTCGTTGTTCTTCTTTGAACTCATACTGGTTTATCCAAACATACAAGGATTTTGAATTAATAATGAGTTCTATGGAAGTAATAAGGCTACCCAAGGTGTTTTAAAACATCACCAATAACATTTTACACTTCAAAAGGAGGAAAAGGGACAAGCACTTCTTTGGATTTCCATTTTGAACATTTTTCCAACAGAAGGTTCATGATTTATTCCCATAAATCTAACAGATTTGTGACCTGCACTTTAAAGACTCTTTGCCTGCATGCACTGTATTACAAATGTCTCAATGACTAGAGTTTTAATCAGTCAAATCTGTCTTGATTTAGCAGTATTCTGTGGACAAATCTTTGTTCTCAGTTGTATAATAATTACAAGCTGTTTTACCAGTGGATAAAGAAAGGATTACTCTCCTCTTTGAAAATGGTAACTTTATCATTACATGTATTTACTTGCCTTATCAGTAAAGAACTCACCAGCTGAGATGCGGGATTATTGTTGTTTAAAGCTCGTGGACAAATGGAGAAACCACATATTCCAAATTTTATCTTTTACAGATGTGGAAAACTAGCTTCTGCTGGTTTTATGCAGCATTTTTTCCCCTTTAGAGTGTAATGTACTTCGGTTAAGTTTTGTGAAAACTAACTAGGAGTGCTGAATGGAAGCCAAACCTTGTTTCTCATTTATGTAGCTCAGAGTTAGATGGAAAGAGGAAAGAATAAAAAAAGAATTGTGAATTAGATGTCCTCTTCCTATGCTAGAAATTTTACATTCTCTGTCTTTCAACAAATTAATTCTCTGCTGCTGTCGTCACAGGACAAGAAGAATGAGCAGGAATTAGAACCACTTACTATGTTGAAACACAGCTAGAAGCAAGTTGTCTTTTATTCAAATGTCTGAATCCAAAATTTCCTATTATATTTTCAGCGATGTGATTCATGATCTTCTGTGTTCTTCAGAATCTAATGATTTTTCAGGAATTTTTATACACAAGTGAAATTTTGCTCCAATTTGTATATCTTGCTGAAAAATACAGTTTAGTATGTATGCCTGTGATTTTTAGCATCCCAAATTGCCTATCAAAAGAGAAGAATGGGGTATTGCAAAGTCACATTTAGAACTTTACTCATGTCAACCTCTTCAGACATCTTGGGTTTAAACATTCAGCACAAATTTAAATGTGCTTGAGTCTTTCCCAGTTTGGATGTAAACGTTGGGCAGGGGAAAGGACTAAAATATTCTTTGGGAGAAGTTTAAGATAGAAAAGGGCAAACGGGGTGGACAGAATAGAAAGGGTTTAATTGTCTCTTATGAGACAATTTTTAAAGTGAAAGGTTTATTCTTGGCCGCAGAGCCAACAGCTACAAGATGTGTGAGCCAGCACAACTTCATAGGTTCCCTAGCTAAAGATCATTACTTAAAGCTTTATGATGAGCCAAACCTCAAATCAAATGTTGACTGAAGGTTAGCTAGTGATGAACTTTAAACCTTGTCCCTTATTCTCCAATACCTCTGTCTTTGAGATCTGAGAGGCTATGAGTTTCCAGCTTGTGGGCTAGCAGAAATGACAGAACCTGGATCCATGCCGGGGGCGGGATTTGGCTCTTAACATGCTCATCAGAGTAGCACATCAAAGCTGAACCATCAAAGCTGAATTGATAATATAACATGGTCACAGTGTGTTCACATCAATAATATTGTCAGATGTACTGCATATTGTGAAATATTTTGTCATAGTAGAATGTTTTGGGTAGATCAGGTTATTTTTTACATTAGTATTCTATTTCTTAGGATGTACCAAATGTATATAACTGTGTCTTCTGCCCTTATATCTTACTTACCTGAAAAGCTAGAAATGGCATTGCAGAGTCTTGGATTCTCTCCAGCCATCAGCATTAAACAGTGGCAATTTAGCCTGTTCCTAATGGTTTTATGACAGTGCAAGTGAATAAATGAACATTATCAAAATGCTTTTGGAGTATGGTTGGGGATGTTTTATTTGTTTGTTTTCATTCAACCTATGCAGTCCTCTTGACTCATTTGTAACAATGTGTGCTGGTATAATCTTACAATTTATAGAAACATGCTTAGATAGGATATTTATTACTAGGATTTTTAGGTAATGAGTTCAATAGATTCGCTTTGCTAGTGAAAGCAGAGATTTCAAGGCAACAGAAGCGTAAATGTGAGTGATTGCATGTACACAGGCAGAGAGGTTGTTTCAGAAACCAAGTTTCAGGAGGAGGATATTTAGATTAAAAAACCTGAAAGTCCCTGCTGATAATATTACATCTTGCCCGTTTATCTATGGAGTGTCATTGACAGTTATATGTGTCAAAAGGAAAAAAACTTCTTTTCTTGTCAAAGCCATTCCCTTAATAGGAGTCAAGCTTAAAAAAAAAAAAACAAACAACAAAAACAAACAAACAAAAAACCCCCAAACCAAACAAAGAAAACCAGCAACAACAAAAACCCTATAGCCTTCAGTCCTGTGAATTTTCACCGTTTCTTGGTTGGCTGCAGTGTAGGTGAGGGGCAGGTTATTTTGATAGCTTCTGTATGGGATTCTGTTTACAGTTCTCTGACACCATCCAGTGGCAGGAGGTTAATGTTAGAATAGTGGGATTATTTATTTGTTTATTTTAACATCTACTGCAATAAGGTGAAACCCTTTGTAGATTCTTAAATGTTTCCAGTGTTTTCTAAACATTTAATTTTAAAACTCTTACCTCTGCTTTCAGCAGG